GGTGCTGTCTGCGTAATGAGCCCTTGATGGGTACTGGGGTCTCCAACTCAGCCAGGAATCAAGAAAGAAGAGAGACGTGGGGAAGTTTGATAGACATAAGTGAAAAAGACACACAAGAAATAGAAAAGAGGGGGTTCGACCTGGGGTGAAGAAAGAGGCAAGAAAACCAGAAAGAGACAGGCAGAAAAGGCAGACATATGAGAGACAAGGACAAAAAACAAAGAAATAGAAAAGGGGCAGAGGAGGGGCAGAAATCAGAGGGGCGGAGTAGCCAGGCAGGGGAAAGAGAAGAGAGCTCTGACTTACAAGCACCTGGGAGGCTTTCTGCTGACCTCCCTCTCTGCGCTGAGCCTTCAAGACCTGAAGGCCAGCAGAGCCTCAGAGTAGTACTGCTCTGAGTTTGGGAAAGGCTCCAACAAGGCCTTGGAGCGAGCTCAATCTCATGAGGTTCTTTTTTGACTCCCACCAGCCCTGCTTCAGTTCTGACCAGGGTCCTCTTCTTCCCAGACAATGTTCAATGTCACCATGCCCGCAGGGCCCCAGGCCACCCTGAGCTGGGAGCACTGGAAAGAGAGGTGGGTAAAGTTGGGCCCCAGGACAGGGTTGGGTGGAGGTCAGTCCAGGGCCAGCCATCCCAAGGAGAGTAGGAACACACACTGGTCCTGGTGTCCACAGAGTCCACACAGGCTCCACACCTTGCAGCTCCAGTGTCTGGAATTGCAACAGGAAGTGGAGAGGATCCCACCACACTCCAGGGCTCAAGATTGGAGCTAAGAGACCATGAGGACCCGAAGTTTTCATCTCTTCTCTTGTCTCTGGAGAAAAAACACCGCCCCCCCCCCCCACACACACACACCTGTGCCCCTGCCCTCGCCAGGCCACCTTATTGTGTGGGTTAGTTCTGCCACAGTGGAAAGGAGCTCCCCAGTTTCAGATTTTGCAAAGCGTGACAGATCAGGCCACTGGCTCTTCCCAAGGGCAGGAGACTTACTGTAGGGAAGGTTCTGAGCGCCAGGCTCCCCTTGCCTTTGCGCCTTAAACATTCCCTGCAGCCCACCTTCTCCACTTGTGTGCATCGCCATGCCTGGAGGCCCTTGCAGACCCCAAGGTTGTTTCTCTCTACCCCGTGCCTCATCCTTGCCCTCTGCTTACCGCCCATTGGTTTGAGCCTGAATCATCTCCCCAGGGGCTAGTCAGCGCTAGGAGCCCTGTGTTCTGACTCTATGGGTTTATTTAGTGCATGTCCATGCCACCGATGCCCAGTGGCTTCTGTCTTGGAGCTGGTGGTGCACGAGGACCAAGGAGAGACACCTGCTAGCTCTGACCATTCCTGCAGGTGATGCCTCGTTAGGGCTGCTGTGTGGTGGGTTCTCCACTTGTGTCCACCTGGCAACCCCGCAAACTGATCGTGCGCCCATTTGTCCCCTGGACCGTGGATGCTCCACCTTGGGTCAGCCTCATGCCACCAGCTGGCCTACCTGGTTGATCTTGCAGAGGTCTGCCCACATACTGGTGCTGTCACAGACCTCTTCAAACTTGAGCACCGCTTAACATTCGTGTGGGATTTCTTGAAGCTGGGGTAGAAGACGATGCGCAGCACCGTGATGCAGGTGGCCTTGCTGGTGGCGTCGCTACCCTCGCGTCCGCAGCCGCTGAGGGTCCGGCTTCCCTGACTTACCCTTCTTTATGAGCAGCCCCAAAGGACTGGGAGGACCGGGTCCCTGAAAGGTCGAAGCTGGGGAATCATTTTGTCGGTGAAGCCCGCCTTCCCCTGGGTGGGTGGGGGGGGGGGGGGGAGGGGGCCGCACCAGCGTGGAGGGCGGCGGCGCATTGCTCTGCTTGCTCAGCGCATCTGGCCACCCGCTGGCGACCGGCCCTGCACCAGGTAGGGGTCGCACACCACGCGGCAGGCGGCCCGCATCTCCTGGTGCGAAATCCTGGGGTGAAATGAAGGACTGCTGGGGCGCCCAGTAAAGCCTGCCTACTGAGAGCAGCCGTTTCCGCCTTTCTTGCTCTCGCGGTTTCAGAGACCCACCTTCCCCGAGGACGGGCGGGACCTTCGACCCCTTCACACCTCTGCCCCTTTCTCACGGAGCTCCCGGCAGGCTGCATTCTCCTGGGGCTCTTTTCCTCCACCTCCCTCTGATCCAGCCCCTTATCTCTGCCTCTAGACCAGGGAGAAACGGGGATCCTAATAAAGTGGGCAACATCGCGTTTTTTCTCCATGCTGACAGGTACAAATATGTCCCTGGATCCTGGTCCCCTTCTCCAGCCTCCAGGAGGAAGGGTGGATCTCATCCGGCCCCTCAGCTCCTTCTTCCTCATCCCTCAGACTCCTCAGCAGCCCCCTAACTCTTCTTTCCATCAGGCTGTGGGAGGATCTCCCTTTCCCCGGGTTCGGTAGAGTCTATAGGCTGCATAAACCGAAGCGTGCGTGCTTCCATCAAAGTATTTGTCGCATAATCTAAAGCCCAGCTCATGCTGCTCCACTGCTCCTCCTTCACCCTTTTTTATCCAGCCCACCAGGGAGCACTCTGCCATGGGAGACCTCTGGGTGACTGCTAAAGATGACACCCGAGCATGCCTTGGTGGCGCTCGCCTGTAATCCCAGCACTTTGGGAGGCCAAGACGAGAGGATTGCTTCATCCCAGGAGTTTGAGACCAGTCTGGGCAACATAGTGAGACCCCCTTCTCTACATAATATGAAAAAGTTGGTCAGATGTGGGGATATGTGCCTACAGTCCCAGCTACTCTGAAGCTGGGGTGGGAAGATTGCTTGAGCTCGGGAGGTCGAGACTGCAGTGAGCCGTGGTTGCTCCAATGCACTCCAGTCTGGGTGACAGAGCAAGACCCTGCATCCAAAACAGAATGACACCCAACCTCTCTTCTCCTGAAAAGCCCACCTCGGGGTCACGCTCACTCCCTATTGACCCATCAGGACGGTCCAAATGAAGCTCTGGCCTTCCACATGCAAGGCTGTGCACTTTGGGAGGCTGAGATGGGAGGATCCCTTGTACCCAGGAGTTCAAGTTCAGCCTGGGCAACAGCAGGAGGCCTTTGCTCTACAGAGTAATAGCCCATCGTGGTGGCACAGGCCTATAGTTCCACCTACTGGGGAGGCTGAAGTGGGAGGATCAATTGTGCTCAGCTCTAGGCTGCAGTGAGCTGTGATCACACCACTGCATTCCAGCCTGGAAAAAAGAGAAAGACTGTGTCGCTAAATAAATAAATAAAAATAAAGACCCTGCTTGCCAATTCTAACTGGTGGTTTTAGGTAAACTGCCTACCCTCAGAGCCTTGAGTACCCGACTGTGGGAAAAGCGTGGTTATGAGCATTAAGTGAGTTAAAATACATGCAAAGCTATGGGTTCAGTATTCAACCATTATTATGCACCTTGTGAATAGTAGCTGCTATACCTACACGAACACGATCCACTGGAGGGTTTGAGGCTCCCATGCATAACTCCAATCCATCATTGAGATTATGATTTGCACAGTTGGACCCAACCCACAGCAGGGCTTTACTCTCATACCTCGTGTTGGAGCATGTGCAGGATCGTGCATCTCATCCCGTGCTTCCTCAAGGGTATGATTGTGACATACACTTTGGCCGAATACCTGAGAAATTTTATTTCCCTGAATGGGCACAGACCACAAATGGGACTGTGAAATATACTTGGGCAAAATACCTCGGTGATGCCATGCTCCTTGCTTGGCTCTGCCCTCGGAGTGGATTATGACATATTTTCACCAATTACCTAGTTGGTGTGACCATCCTCTACTGCTTGGATCCTGCTTAAAGGGAGAACATATGTAATATATCTATGAGCCAATAAGTTGGACCCTGCTTAAAGGGAGAATATATGTGATATATCTATGAGCCAATAAGATTCAATAACATGAATCTCCTCTCCTACCTGGGTCCTGCTTCCAGGAAAGATTCTTACATATTGCTGGGCCCTGCACCCAAATGATGTGACTCCCCAGCTAAAGCCCTGCCCACAGAGGGCACTGTAACATATCTCTGGGCCCACCATTTAGGTGATGTGACTATTCTCTTTTGTCTGGACACTGCCCACATGGGTCATTGTGATGTATCATTAAGCACAGCACCCAGTTATGTGACTTTCCTGCCAGGGCCCTGCTGAAAAGATGGATGTTGGCATATCCTTTGCCCAGAGCCCAGGTGATGTGGCTCTCCTGCCTGGTCCCTGCCAACAGGTGAGATTTTACCATATACCTAAGCCCAGCTCACAGGTATAATAATTACTCTTGCACATGGACTCAGTAATAGAAGAGATTTGGACTCTTATAGATAGGCTTAGGACAACGGGTAAGGTCCTGTGTCTCCGACTTGTAGAAAAGTCACAGAAGATTATGACACTCATGCATGCAGTATAAAGCCCCTGAGTGACATAGTGTCATGACAGGCCCAGCACACAGATGAGATGGTGACTCTCATAAGCACATGCAGCTGACAATTAGAATTGTCACCCTCCCATATGTGCTCCGCCCACTTTTGAGGTTCTGAATCTCACACCCTGAGGCATTCAAAAGTTTACATTGCGAGTCTCATATGTGAAACTGAACCCAAGGTAGGGTGGTGAATCTCAAAACAAAATTCATCACACCTTTGATGCTGTGATTACTTACTGCCACGCTATTCACAAAAGCAGTGGCACTCTCATGCGTGGATCCTGTCCACCGCTGGGATTGTAATCTGAGGACGTGGAGGCAACTCACTTGAGGTGTTGACTTTTACTTTCCTGGAGCCAGGAAATATGCGGGATTATGGATCTCATCCCTGGACCGCTTTGCAAGTTTGATTGTTACGTATAATTCTGTCTAGCCACCTGATTGATTTTACTCTCTTGCCTGGGCCCAGTGAATTGTTGCTGTTGTGCCATCTATCTGAGCCAGGAAACTAGATCATGTGATATATCTGCCTGGGCCCTGCCCGCAGGGCACATTGGGCATATCAGTTGGCTCATCACCTAGGTGATGTGGACTTTCCAGCCCTGGCCCTGCCACCTGTGGGGATTGTGATATATCACTGGTCCATCATCTTGGTTACATGACGCTCCTCTCCTCCCTGGGCCTTGCCGCTATTTGGTATTGTGATGTATCCCTGAGCCCAGCACCCAGGCACAGTCTCCCTTGCTGCCTGGGCCTTGCCTACAGTGGGCATTGTGAGGCATCACTGGGCCTAGCATCCAGATGATGTGACTCTCCTTTAAGAACCCTGCTAGCAGAAGAAATCATGATATGTTTTAGACCTGACACCCATGTGATGTGACTCTACTGCCTGGTGCAGGCCCACAGGTGGGATTGTGACATTTAACTAATCACAACTTACGGGTATGCTGATGACTCTCACACATGAACCCAGCCAATGAAGGAGATTTTGACCTCCTAGACAAGCTTAGAAAAAACAGGTAATGTCCTCAGTAATGTGACTATGCTCTTCTTTCTCACCCATTGCCAGCCAACGGGATTGGGTCCATTTGCACAGTTGGACCCGACCCACAGCAGGAGTTTACTCTCATACCTCGTGTCATTATGACATTTCTTTGGGCCAGTTCCCTAGGTGATGTGACTCTCTTCTCCTGCCTAGGTTCATCCTCTTGGATGAATTTTACCATATCACTGAGTCACAAACCCAGGCGATATGGCTCTTCTGCCTGGGGCCTGCTTACAGAGGGCATTGTGACATATTTCTGAGGCCATTAACTACGTGATGCGACCCTCCTCTTTTGCGTTGGCCGTGTCCACAGAAAGAATTGTGACATACTGCTGAGGCCTGCACACAGGTTATTCGATTTTACTGTCAGGGTCCTGCCCACATAGAAGTTATTGACATTTTCCTGACCCAGCATTAATGTGATTTGACTCTTGCCTGGTTCCTGCCCACGGGTGACGTATACTTAGGCGCAGCTCAACTTATAATGGCTACCATACATGGACCAAACTAATAGGAAAGATTTTGACTCTGACCTAGGCTAAGGCAATGGGTAAAGTTCTAAGTCTCTTGCTGGTAAAAAGGTCAAATAGGATTAAGATACTTATACATATCATATGAATCCCTTGGGTAATACAGAGAATATAATAATGAAGACAAGCTCACAAGTAAAATTGTGATTGTATAGGAACACACAGCTGATAATTAACATTGTCACCCTCACACGTAGACAGAGCCCACTGTTGAGGTCCTGAATCTCAAATGCATATGCAGTCCACAGTTGGAATTGTGACTATCATACGTAAATCCAGGCACAGATGGGACGGTTACTCATTTCCAGACCAAGCTTACGGGCACCCTGATGACCCTGTACCTAGCCAATAGGAGAGATATTGGCTCTCATACCTAGGCCAAGATATTGGGTCTATATCAGCATGAAAGTCTCAGAGCAGACTGCGACTCTCACGCATACTGTATGAAGCTTCCAAGTGGTACAGAGAGTGTCATAACAGGGCCCAAGATTCAAGATTGCCAGGACACTGCTCACAGGTAGAGTTGAAGCTCTCATGCACGGATCCGGTCCAGCATTGAGTCACAGACTCGAACTCAACTTACAGAAAGAGTGGACTCATATGTGCAGCTGGAATGTGTACGGGAGTGTGAATCTCATTCCAGAACCACCCCCAGGGTGGTTAGGACTGTGACATATACCTGGACCAAGCACTTAGGTGATATGACTGTCTTTCTTGAGCCCTGCCCATAAGGGGGATTATGACATACCTCTGGGATAATCAATTAGGAATGAAGTTTACCTTTTCTTCCTGGGACATATCCACAGGCAGCATTGTAACATATTTTTGGGCCTTTCATGTGGGTAATGTGACTCTCCCTTTCTCTTTTTGCTGTGCCCCAAGTGGGAATTGTGACATATCACTGGGCCCATTATCTAGATGATAGAACTCTTTCCTCCTGACTGGGCTCTGCTTACACGGGGGACTGTGACAAACTGCTGGGCCCAGCACCCAGGTGATGTAACTCTCTCTTCCTGCTTGGGCCTTGCCCACAGAAAAGATTCAGACATATCAATGGGCCAAGCACCCACGTGATGCTACTCACCTGCCTGTGTTCTGCCTACAGTGGACGTGGAGACAAGACATAGCCCTGGTCCAGAACCAAGATGATGTGACTCACCTTCCTGCCTCCTGCCCACCGGTGGGATGGTCACATATACTTAGGCTCAGCTCCCAGGCATAATGGTAACTCTCATATGGGAACCCAGCCAACAAGAGAGATTTTTACTCTTGCAGTTAGGCTTATAACAACAGATACACTTCTGTTTATCCTGCTAGTAGAGAAGTCACAGAAAATTAGGGAACTCATGCATATCCTATAAAGCCCTGGGGTGGTACAGAGATGTTGTAACAGGCCAGGACACACGTGAGATTGTGACTCTCATAGCACACTCAGCCAACAGCTAGGACGGTTACCCTCACACATGAAGACAGCCCACTCCTGAGGTTCTGAATCTCATTCCTGGTGGCAGTCAAAAGTTGGAATGGTGATTCTGATACATGGATTTGATTGACAAGTAAAATAATAACTCCTGGACAAAACTTCAGCACTCCTGATAGGCTGCGACTGTGCTACCAAAACACTGTGTTCAGGTGGAGCTGAGGCTGTCATGTATGGATCCTGTCCACTGTTGAGATTGCGAGTTGCATGCACAGATGCTGCTCACAGGAGGTGTTGAGTCCCATATCTGAAGCTGGGACACGTGCAGGATTAGAGATTTTATTCCAGGATCTTCCTGCAGGTGCAATTTTGACATATACTTTTGTCTAGCATGTTACTAATTTTACTTTCCTGCCTGGGTCCAGTCTGCCATTGGGATTGTGACATATACTTGGGGTGAGTCCATAGGTGATGCAGTGCTTCTGCCTGGGCCCTGCTTACAGGAAAGATTGTGATATTTGGCTGGACTCATCATCTAGGTAACATGACTCTCCTTTTCTTCCTGTGCCCTGTCCCCAGTGAAGATTGTGACAAATCTCTGAGCCAGTCAGCTGTGTAATATGACTCTTCTTTCTTCTTTCTTTTTTGGCCCTGCTAACAGGGAACCAAGTATTCAGATGATGTGACTCCTGCCTGTCCCCTGCCTGCAGTGGGCATTGTGACATTTCACTGGGCCTAGCACCCAGGTGATGTTACTTCTGTCTTACCTCTGCTCACAGGTGAAACTGTGATACATAGCTAGGCCCAGCACACAGGAAAAATCGATGACTCTCATATCTAGCCACAGCCAGCAGGAGATATTTTGACTCTCATGGCCAGGCTTAGGGCAACGGGTAACATCCTGGACCTCCTAATTTTATAAAGTTTGCAAAACTCAGGCCTATTGTATAAAGCTCTAGAGTGATACAGAAAGTTTTATAACAAAGCCCAACTAACAGGTGAGATTGTGACACTCGTAGGCAGACTCAGCTGACATAATCTCTATTCTTACACACAACACAGCCTACTAATGAGTTACTAAGTCTCACACATAAGAACAGTTGCAAGTTGGAATTGTTACTCTCATATGCAGAACTGGTCTACAGGTGGCTTGGTGACTCTTGAACCACGAGTCAGCAGACCTGTGAGGCTGTGACTCCCCTACTGGAACACAATCTGCAGGTGGGATTGGGGTTCTTATGCACAGACCTCACCCATTGTTGAGACTGCGACTCCTGTACTTGAACCCAGCTCACAATAGGAGTTGCCTGTCACACCTAAGTCTGGAGCTTGTGTGGGTCTGTGAATCTCATTCCTGTACATTCCAAATTGTTTGATGGGGACATATACCTTTATCCAGAACCTGAGCGATTTGACTCTCTTTCCTAGGCCCAACCCACAGATAAAATGTGACATAGACCTGGACATCACCTAAGTAATGCGAAGCTCCTTCCTGGGCTGTCTACCAAGGGAATTTTTACATATTACTGGAATCAGCATCCACTGAGGTGACATGAGTCTACTCTGCCTGAGCCCTGCCTATAAAGGACACTGTGACTTTCTCTGGGTCTATCAAATAGGTGATGTGACTTTCTTCTACTGCCTTGACCCTGCACTTTCAGTACATTATGATGTATAACTGGCTAAGTACTATACCCAGGAATGTGACTCTCCTTCCTGATTCTTCCTACAGGAAGTATTGTAACATATCACTTAGCCCAGCACCTAGGTGATGTGATTCTCCTTGCTTGGTTGGTCCCTTTCTGCTGAGGAGATTGTGACCCATTGCTGGGTCCAGCACCAAGGTGATGATACCCTGTTGCCATGTTGAGGCCATTGTGACATATACCTAGGCCAATCACCTAGGTGAAGTGAGTCTCCTCTCCTGCCTGAGCTCTGCCTTCCAAGGGGATTTTGAGGTATCACTGGACCCAGCGTCCAGGTGATGTGACTCTTCAGCCAGGGTTCTATTCAGAAGAAGGATTGTGACATGTCCCTGGGCCAGCAACCAGGTGATGCACCTTTACTCTCCTCTCTCTGCCCACAGGTGGTATTGTGTCATTTACCCAGGACCAAATCATAGACACAATGATGACTCCTGTAACTGGAGCCAAGACATGTGTGGGATGGTGACTCTTATCACTTGTCCTTTCCACAAGTGTCATTGTGAAATATACCTTTGTCCAACATGTGAGCGATTTGACTCTCCAGACTTGACCCAGTTCACAAATAAAATTGTGACATACGGCTGGGCCAAGAACCCAGGAGATATAACTTGATGTCTAGGCCCTGCTCTCAAAAGGATGGTGATATCACACTGAACTCAGCACCTAGGGGATGCTATTTTCCTTTCCTACACGGGTCCTGCTTACAGTGGGACTTGTGACATATCGATAGGCTTAGCACCAAGGTGATGTGACTGTTTTTTTTTTTGCCTGGGCCCTGACCACATGGGTAATTGTGACACATCGCTGGCCCCAACACTCAGGTAATGTGACTCTCCTGTCTGGGATCTGCCAACAGAGGGCAATGTGACATATTTGTAAGCCCAGCACCCAAGTGCTGTAAGTCTCCTGACCGGGCTCTGCTGACAGGGAGAACTGTGATGTATTCCTGGGCTCAATATCTAGGTTATGTACTCTCCTTTTCACCTAGGCCAGCCTACAAGGGTAATTGTGACATATCACCAAGCCCAGCATCAAGGTGATGTTACTCTTCTGCATAGGCCCTGCCAACGGGGGAAGAAAAAAAAAAAAATTGACATATCCCTAGTTTGGCATCCAGGTGATGTAACATGTCTTTTGGTCCACACCCACAGGTGTGATTTTCACCTATGCATTTTCCTAGTGATTTGCCCCTTTAGCTTGGGAGAATCCCACAGACAGAATTGTAACATATACTTGGCACAAGCACCTAAGTGATGTAACTCTTCTGCCTTGGTGCTGTCTTCAAAGGGGATTGTAATATATCACTGGGCCAGCACCTAGTGATGTGACCCATCTCTTTTTTCTGGGCCCTGCCCCCAGTGGGGATTGTACATATCCCTGGGTCCTGGACCCACAAGCTGTTACCCTCCTACCTGGGCCCTGCCCACAGAAGACATTGTAACATATTTCTGGGCCCATCCGTCAGATGGTGTAACTCTCTTCTTGTGCCCAGGTGCTGCCCACGGGAGGCATTGTGACATAGGTCTGGACCAAGCACCTGAACGATGTGACACTCCTGACTGAGCCCTGCCACCCTAAGGGGAAAATTTTACATATTGTTGACCTCAGGCACCATGATGAAGTGTCTCTCCTATCTAAACTTTTTCCACAGTGGGTATTGTTACATATTCCTGACCCAGCACCCCGGCGATGTGAGTCTCTTATCTTGTCACTGCTCACAGGTGTGTTTGCACTCAGTTCACTGGCACAGTAATGACTCTCATACCTGGACCTAGCCACTTAAAAACTGTTGACTCTTGTGCCTCTAAATGGGAAATCAGGTCAGATCATGCGTCCATGTAAGAATTAAAGTCTCAGAGCTGACTGCAACTGTCATGCAAATTATATAAAAACTTCCAGTGTTACAGAGAGTGTCATAACAGGACCCAGCACACAGGTGTGATTGTGACCCTCATATTTACACCCAGCTGACAATAAGGATTGTCACCTTTCCACATGTTCACAGCCCACTTTTGACGCTCTGAATCTCCAAACTGGAGACAGTCAAAACTTAGAATTGTGATTCTCATATGTGAATACAGTCCACATGTTGAATGGTGGTCCTCAGACCAGGATGAAGCACACCTGTTAGGCTGTGATTTTTCTACCAAGACACACCGTGTAGGTTGACTGGGCTCTCATATACAAATCAAGTCCACTGTTAAGACCGTGACGCATGTATTTGAGCTAAACTCACAGGAGATGTTGACTTTCATACCTGGAGCTGAGACGTGTGCTGGATTGTGAATCTCACTTTTGGATTTTCCCAAAGGTTTGATTGAGACACATACCTTGCCTAACATGTGAGTGATTTCACTCTCATGTGTGAGCCTAGCATACGTGCAGACAGGATTGCTACATCTCCCTGGGCCAGTCAGTTAGGTGATGTGACATTTCTGATAGGGTGAGGCCCTCCTCTGAGAAAGGATTTTTAACACACTGCTGGACTCAGCACTTAGGTGATGTGGCCCTTCTTCCTGGGTCCTGCCAAGAGTTCAAATTGTAACACATATCTGGGCCCAAAACACAGGTAAGGCAATGACTCTCATACTTGGAACAAGACAAGAAGAGAGATATTTACTCTCGTAGCTCAGCCTAGAACAGCGGGTAAGTCCAGGGCCTTTTATGTGTACAAAATTTGGAGAAGATCATGACACTCACAGATATCACATGAAATGCTTGGGTTGTACAGGGAGTGTCATAACAGAACCCAACACAGAGATGAGATTATTACTCTCCTATGCACACCCAGCTGACAGAATTGTCACCTTCACACATGGACACACCTCACTGATGAGATCTTGAATCTCATTTGTAGGCACAGTCTACAGTTGGAATTTTGCTTATTATATGTAGACTCAGCCACGAATAAGATGGAGACTTGTTTATGAACCCAGCTTACAGGCAAGGTGAGGCTTTCATACCTGGACCCAGCCAATAGGAGAAATATTGACTCTTGTGCCTGGGCTTAAGGCAATGGGTAATATCATGCAATTATACCACCACAAAATCCTCCCAGCGGATTGCAACTCTCACAAATAACCTATTAACGTTTCTGCGGTGCAAAGAGTGTAATAACAGGGCCCAGCACAAAGGTGAGATTGTTATGCTTGTATGTACACTCAGCCAACCGTAAGGATTGGTGCCCTTTTACATAAACACCGTCCACTGCTGAGGTCCTGAATTTCACATCTGAAGGAAGTTGGAATGGGGAATTGTGACTCTCATTTGTGGATCTGGTCTGCAGGTAAGGATGGTAGCTATCAAACCCAGATTTAGTACAATTGTTGAGAATATGGCTGCCCTACTAGGACACTGTTCACAGGTGCAGTTGAGGCTCTTATTTATGGATCTTGTACACCATTACGATTCTGTCTCATGTACTTGGGTACAAATCACAGAAGGTTGTGACTCTCATACCTGAAGCCTGGAAGTGTGTGAGATTATGAATCCCATTCTTAGACCTTCCTGCAGGTGTAATAGTGACATATACTTTCACTCATTGAAAGTATATGATTTTACCCTCTTGTGGAAGCCTAACCAACAATTGGTAGTTGAGATTCTGAAATATACCTGGGCCAAGCCCTTGGGTGATGTGACTCTCCTGCCTGGGCTCTGCCCACAGGAGACATTGTGACATGTCTCTGGGCCCATCACTGAAGTGATGTGACTCTACTTTCCTGCCTATGACCTGCCTCCATTGGGGATTTTGACATATCACTGACCCGCTAGTGTGTGATATGACCCTCCTCTATTGACTACACCCTACTAACCAAAAACAATTGTCACATACAGTGGAACCCATCATCTAGGTAATGCAACTCACTTATGCTGCCTGTGCCCTCCCTACATATGGGACTGTGACATACTATAAGCCAAGCACCCAGGTGATGTGACTCTCCTGCTTGTGCCCTCCTACACTGGGCATTATGACATATCACCGAGCCTAGCACCCAGGTGATATAACTCCTTTTTTTGGACCTGTCAACAGGCGGGATTGGGATATATCTCTGACCCATCACGCAGGTGATGTGACTGTCTTGCCTTCTGTTTACCCACAGGTAGGATTGTGACCTCTGCCTAGGCCTAGCACAAGGCATCATGATGTCTCTCAGATATGGAACTACCCAATAGAAGAGATTTTGGCTCTCATAGATAGATTTAGGGAGAAGGGTAAGGTCCTGAGTCTCTTACTTGTAAAAAGTTACAGAAGATTCTGACACACACACACACACACACACACGCACACACACACACCACACACACACACAAACACACACATTATGAAGTCTTTGAATGGTACAGAGCTTTATAATACGAAGCAGAACACAGGTGATATTCTGACTCTCATAAGCACACCCTGCTGAAAATTAGAATTGCCACCCTTATACATGGGCAGAGCACACTGGTGAGCTCCTGAATCTCACATGCAGATGAAGTCCACAGTTGGAATTGTGATTGTTATATGCAAATCTGGCCACAGGTGGGGTGGTGGCTCATTTCTGGACCCAGCTTACAGGTCTAGTAATGACTCTAATAGCTGGACCTAGCCAATAAAATAGAAGTTTGCCTTAGTAACTAGGCTTAGGACAACAGGTAATGTCCTGGGTTTCCTACTTGTACAAAAGTCACAGAGCCCTACAACACTTGAGCATATCATACAATGCCCTCAGGTAGTAAAGAGAGTTTTATTTCACACAAATGAAATTATGACTCTTATCTGCACACTCAGCTAACAGTAAGGATAATCATCCACCTACATGGGAACAGCCCATTGCTGAGTTTCTGAATCTCACACCTGGAGCAATTTAAAGTTAGAAATGTGACCCTCATACATGGCTGCAGACCACAGGTAAGATGCTGACTTTGGGTTCAAGATTAAACACCTAGTGAGGCTGTGTCTCCTCTATTAGAACACTGTTTTCAGATGAGGTTTTAGCTCTCATGCACAGATACAGTCCGTTGTTGACTTTGTGACTCATGTTCTTGGACAGAACTCACAAAAGGTGTTGACTTCCGCTGGTTTTGTCTAAACACGGGATTATGACCTATGCCTAGGCCAAGCACATAGATGATATGACTCTCCTGCATGGGCTGTGCTCTCAGAGGAGATATTGAAATATTTATACGCCCATCGTCTAGGTGAGGTGACTCTCCTTTCGGGACTGCACTCAGCCCCCAAGGGGCATTGTGACATATAACTGGTTCCATCACCTAGGTGATGTGACTCTCCTCTCCTGCCTAGGCCATACCCCCATTTGGAATTCTGACATATCCCTGGGCCCATCACTTAGTTGCTATGAATCTCCTCTCTTGCCTTGGCCTGCTTACCTGGGGAATTGTGATGTATTACTGGGCCCAGCACCAAGTATGTTGTGTTCTTTTATTTTTTTGCCTGGACTATTACTACAGAAGGGAGTGTGACAAATCAATGAACAAGCACCCAGGTGATGTGGCTCTCCTGTCTAAGCAATGGCCATATTTGGAATTATGAAATATACCTGGGCCATATTTTCTAGGTGATGTAACTCTTCTGCCTGAGCCCTTCCTCAAAGGGCATTGTGAAATATCTCTGCACCCATCACTTAGGGCATATGACTCTTCTCTTTTTTTCTTGGGCTCTGTCCACAGGTTAATCTGTGACATATTGCTATACCCAGCACGCAGGTAATTTGATCCTTTGTCCCTGGCTCTGACACATCACTGACATATCAGTAGGCTCAGGAGTCAGGTGATATGACTTTGCTGCCAGGGATCTCCTCTTAGAATGGATACTGACATATTTTTGGCTCAGCATTCAGGTGATGTGGCTTTTATTACTGATCCCTGTCAAGAGGTGATATTGTCACATATTCCTGGGTCCAGTTCATAGGCATAATGATAATTATCCTACATGGACACAACCAATAGAAGAGATTTTTTACTCTTCTAGCTGGCTGACAGCAATGTATTGTGTCCTCAGTCTTCTGCTTTTGAAAAGATCACAAAGTATTACAAAGCTTATGCATATTATATAATGCCCTTTGATGGTAAAGAGACTGTCATTACAGGGCCCAGCACACAGCCAACAGTTAAAAGTTTTAATCTCACACATGGACAGAGCTCACTGTTATAGGCCCTGAATGTCACTCACAGACTAAGTCCACAGTTGAAATTTTGGCTATCACATATGGATCTGGCCATAGGGGAAACGGGTGACTCATTGCTGGACCAAGCTCACAGGTGTGATAATGACTCTTATATCTAAACCAGTCAATAGAATAGATGTTGAATCTCATCCTTAGGCTTGGAGCAACAGATAAGATCATGAGTTTATATTGGCACAAAGGCTATAGAGTGGATTGCAAGTCTCAAACATATTATAAAAAGCAGGATATGGTGCAAAGAACAAGGCCCAGTACAGTGTTGAGGGTTTGACTCTCATTGCATTCACTGACAACAGTAAAAATGTTCACACTCCCACATGGACACAGCCCACTGTTGAAGTTCTGAGTTTCACACCCAAAGGCAGTCCAAAGTTGGTATAATTACTCTTATATGTGGATCCAGCCTTCAGGTGGTGAATCTCTGATCGATATTTAGCAAATATGTTAGGCTCTAACTCTCCTAATGTGTGTTGTCTGAGCTTGAAGCTTTCATGAATGGATTCAATTTACTGTTGAAATCATGACTTTCATACTTGGACCCATGAGGTGTGTAAAAGTTTATGAGGTACATACTTTTATGCCTAGACCCAGAACATGTGCAGGAATGTCAACTCCATTCCTGGACCTTCCCACAGGTGTGAATGTGACATATAATTTTTCCCAGGCAGAACATGACTGATTTGAATATACTGCCTGAATAAAGCCCACAGTTTGGATTGTGACACATACCTAAGCCAATAACATTGGTAATGTGGCCCTCCTGCCTAGTCCCTTCTCACAGGTGTGACTGTGAGATACCTCTGGTCTCATTTCCAGGTGATGTGATTTTCCTCTCTTGCCTGGCACCCATTCCCAAAGGGGATTTTGATATATTGATGAGCCCAGCACTCAGGTGATGTAATCCTTCAGCCTAGATTCTGCTCATAGGGGACATTGTGACGTATCACTAGTCCCAGCACCATAGTGATGTGAATATCCTACAAGCACTCAACACACAGAGGGGATGCTAATACATCCTTGGCTCAGTATTCAGGTGATGTAACTCTCCTGCCTGGTTCTGCCCAGAGGCAGGATTGTTACATATACCTAGGTTCAGGTCACAGGAATAATGATGACTATCATATGAGTGCCCAGCTAAAAGAAGAGACTTGGACTCTCACAGCTAAAGTTATTTAGGACAATCAGTAATGTTCTGAATCTCCTCGTTGTATAAAGGTTACAGGTGATTATGACCCACATGAAGTTTGTATAAATTCTTTGGTCTTATCAGAGTCCATTACAGAGGCATAATTTTGCCTCTCATAGGCACACTACCCAACATTTGTGATGATTATTCTCACACACGGACAAAGCCCACAGCTGAGGTTCTGAATCTCACGTGTGCAAACAGTCCACAGTTAGAATTGGGACTGTCATCACATCTGGCAACAGGTTGGAAGGTGACTCATTTTTGGACCCAGCTATTAACACTTCAGTGTCTCCCATGCCTGGTTCCAGCTTATAGAAGAGATATTGACTCTTGCATCTAGGCTTCCAGCAACAGATAAGATGCTGGGCTTTCCACTTTTACAGAAACCTCAGAGAATTACAACTCATGCATATTGTATAATGCCCTAAGGTTGTACAGCAAGTGCTAAAACTGGGCGCAGCTCAGAATCTCAATTGTGACTCTTACATGCACACACAGCCCACAGTTAGGATTAAATGTGAAGAGACTCCACTCATGAGGTCCTGGATCTCACTCACAGAAACAGTTCACGGGTAGAGTTGCGACTGTCATATCTGCATCCGTACACAAATGGGATGGTGCCTCATTTCAGGACCCAGCTTACAGGCACACTGATGACTCTCATACCTGTACCCAGCAAATAGGACTGGTGTTGACTCTCATGCCTGAACCTGGGGCAACATGTAGGATTATCTGTTTAAATCATCATGAAGTTCTCAGAGCAGGTTTTATTGTCATGTAGGCCATGTGAAGCCCTTAAGTGGCCCTGAGTGTGTCTTATAAAGACTCAATGCGCAGGTGACATTGTGACCCTTCTATGCACGCATAACATACAGTGAGGAATGTCATCTCCTATATGGACGGAGCCAATTGTTGAGATTCTGAATATCACACCTAGACTAGCTGAAAGTTGACATTGTGACTCTCATACATGAATCCAGTTCACAAGGAGAATGGTGACTTTTATATCAAAACTCAGCACACCAGTTAGGCAGCGACTTCCCTAATTAGACAGTGTTTGCCAATGAGGTTAGAGCGTTCATGTATGAATTCCATCTACCATTGAGATTGTGATTTGTGTACTTTAACACAATTCACAGAAGGTGTTGTCTTTTCCTAACTTGAGCTAGGAAATATGTGAGACTGTGAATCTCATTCCTGAAGGTGTGACTTTGACATATAATAGTTTCTCAGCACCTGGTTGACTTTGCTCCCTTACAAGAGCCCCACCAACAGTTGGGATTGTGACCTCTACCTGGCTTAAACACCTAGGTGATGCTGCTGTCCTGCCTGGGTGGGGATCGTAATGTGCCTCTGAACCTGTCACCTCATTGATGAGACTCTACTTTCCTGCCTGTGCCATGCCTCCAATAACAGAAATCTGGGCATATTACCCAGGTGGTATGACTCTGCTCTTATGACTGGTGCCTGTGAACAGCGGGAAATGCAACAGATTGCTGGGCCCAGCACCTAGATGATGTGACTCTTTTTTTTTTTTTTTTTTTTTGAGAAGGAGTCTTGCTCTGTCACCAGGCTGGAGTGCAGTGGCACAGTCTCGGCTCACTGAAACCTCTGCTTACCAGGTTCAAGTGATCCTTTCACCTCAGCTTCCTGAGTAGCTGGGACTACAGGTGCGTGCCACCATGCCCAGCTAATTTTTGTATCTTCGGTAGAGACTGGGTTTCACCATATTCACCAGGATGGTCTCGATCTCTTGACCTCGTGATCCGTCCACCTCAGCCTCCCAAAGTGCCGGGATTACAGGCGTGAGCCACCGTGCCCAGCTGATGTGACTCTTTTGACTGAGTTTTGCCTACAGTGGGCATTGTGACCTATCACTGAGCCTAGCACAGGGGTGATGTGACTTTCCTGTGTGAGTCCTGTTCACAGAGAGATATTGACATTTCCGTGGCCCAGCATTCAGGTGATGTGACTTATCTCTCTGATTCTGCTCACAGGTGGGGTTGTGACCTATACCTAGGCCCAGGCAGTAGTCATAATAATGGCTTTGTTACATGGACCCGGCCAATAAAAGAAATTTTGACTCTAACAGCTAGGCTTAGGGAAATAATTAAGGTCTTTGGCCTACTAATCGTAAAAATGTCACAGAAGATTATGATACTCACATGTATTTTATAAAGCCCTTGGGGTGTACAGAGAGTTACCTGACAGGGCCCAGGAAACAGTGAGCCTGTGTCTCTCATAAATTCATTTAGCCAACAATTAGGATCGTCACCGTCATACATAAACAGAGTCCACTACTGAGATTCTAAATCTCACACATGGATACAGTTCAAAGTTGAAACTGTGAATGTAATATGTGGATCTGGCCACAGACTGGATGATGTTTAAACTTTCACTTGTCACTTTTCTTACAGCCATGTAATTTTCCATTTTGGCCGAATTTTTTTTTTTTTTTTTTTTTTTTTTTTTTTTTTTTTTTCAGAAAAAGTGATTGTGGAGAAACATTTATTTGGACATATGAAATATATCTTCTTTTCAACAGAGAATGAACAAGTAGAGCATTATATATTTATTTTACCTAAGTTGTTCTCTTTCAAAAAGATTAATATAATGACAAATTTGAAATTTTCTTGATTTATCCAAAATAAATAAATATGCTCAATTTAAAATAATTTTCCAAAACAACTGGTTTTTGACCAATATTTAAAAGCCCCAGAATGTCTTATCCAAAGCATTCAAGTAAAGACTGACAGTTAAAAATTAAGCAATAGCACTTAAGTGTAATTTGTTTTGTTTTAGAGACGAGGTCTTACTACATTGCCCCAGCTGGAGTGCAGTAGCTAGTCACCAACACAATCATGTTGCATTACAGACTGGGCTCAAAGGGTCCTCCTGGCTTAGTCTCCTGGGTAGCTGGGACTAAAGGACATGTCACCATACCAAGCTATGTTTTTAAAAACCACCTTTACACTACTGCACAGTTTTGGACATCAGGAAACAAATACATTTTGACTCTCAACAAAAAAGTACTTGGTGGCACATTAAAGAATCAAAACACAAGAGGCCGATAGTTATCCAAAAATGATAGAAAATGACATTGTGCCTTTGCTTTTGTTTGAAGAGAAATAAAGTTTCCACTTACGTTTTAAGTGCCAAGATAGCTAATTCTGTTAAAATGTCACCAAAACGAGTAACATGACTCAGAAAATCAGCTGTCTCCAACAGAAACAATTTTGTTACCTTTTACAAGAACTAAGTTGCAACATTCATTTTTAAGTGTCTGATATAGCCTCAGTATTATCACAAACCACTTTGTTAGATTTTTAAATTAATTCTTACCCAACCTGAATTAAAAATTGCTCACATTCCAAAGCAAGAAATACTATTGCACACTGGACTCATATTTTAGGAATGGGCGCTTCCCCACATACCCCCAAACTGACAATGCATCTATGACGTATATTTCGTTATCTGAATGTATAACACTCAAAGTGCTCTTCCACTTAATAAGTACATTACTATACTTGTAGTCTCAAAATACTTCATGAACTCTGAAGTAATTCTCTATGAAGGGAGCTTCCTTTGTAAAATGAATTCGGCTAGTCTGGCATACCAATATTCCCAAATAGCTAAACAAATTGATTTTGCTCCTTGGATTTTCAATCCAAGATCTCATTGGATCATGTACTTGTAAAGTGTTGCATGGGTGTGAACAATATCCTTGTTTGTGCAAATTCTTTCAAGACCTGTGGATAAATAATCCAAGTATTGCTTTCTCCGGAATGACCACCATCCAGAAAATACATTGTCCTTGTGCTTTTAATGAAACCATCTATGTTCTTGTCTTTCTTGGCTTCTTTCAATTCAAAAAGAAACTGATTCAAAACAACACAACATTTATGGAATCCAGTCAAAGGAAAAGATGCATCGTTCAGTGATGGTGGATTAAAAAAAACTCACGGCAGACTCATCAGATTTTTCACAGGTCTTCTCTTCTTCTCCCTGGAAATGATTTGTAGTGTGAGAAGAATTGGACATTTATAATTAGATGATGTGGAGTCCTTATTCCAATCATTCAAATTTTTCTTTGATAAACTACTCTGACTTAAAAGCATTAACTAACAATATATAAAGGAGCTTAAAAGCTCCAGAGTCTGTATTGTGTTCTGGGGAACCAAACATGTCACTTTTCAGAAAATTGTCATGGCAGCTGAATCTGCAAATTCATTAGGGAGCACTTCATCACCCGAATATAGCTATTGGGGAACCGGTGGGCTAAAACTGCAGCAATAATTTCTAGACTCCAATTTTCCCATTGGTAATTCGCATAATTTCATAGTAATTCTGAACATCCCCGGGGAAAGTGAGGGCTGCGGTTCCTCCATAGTTGGCTTTCCGGAAACGTCCCGCAGCTCCAGTCTGTCCCTGGCAGCCGCCAGCAGGAGAATCCCGGGGCTGCTGAGCTGCGGGTCCTCTCCAGCATGGCTTTCGGCAGGGCGGCGCCAGGTGGCGGAGTGGGAGTATCTCGCACCGCCGCTGCTGCTGGGTTCCTGGTTCTGTCCTGAGAGAAGAAAGAGGTGTCTCCAACTCCAACCTGTGGCAGCAGGAACAACAGCAGCGGCGACCGCAAAAGCCTGTGCTATTTGGAGGCGGAGGGTGCGGGGTCCTGAGGAAGGGACTGCACAGGAAGCCCAACTGTCAGGGCCACCGGCAGGCCAGACGCCGGCGCAAGGCAACCACATCAGAGGCCAATGTCAGCGTGCAGAGCAGGATTTCTTTCTTTCTGTGGTTAAATAGTATTCCGTTGTGTGTGTACACCATATTCACTTTATCCATTTCTTCCAGATGAACACTAAGATTGATTCTACATCTTAGATATTGTCAATACAGCTATGACAAACATGGGAGTGCAGCTATCTCTTCAATATACTGATTTTATTTTCCTTTGATATATACTCAATCGTGGAATTGCTGGATTATATATGGTAGTTTTGTTTTTGTTTTGAGAAACCTGCATAGTTTTCCACGCAGATTTCTAATAAATAAATAAATCTAAAAATGTACTAAATTTACATTCACACCAACAGTGTACAAGTGTCCCCTTTCTCCACAGCCTCATCAAACTTTGTTATCTTTTGTCTTCTTGATAACGGCCATTCTAAATGGGATGAGGTACTATACCACGTGGTTTTGGATTGCATTTTCCAGATGATTAGTGATGTTGAGCATTTCTTTGTGTCTTCTTTGGAAAAATGTCTGTTCAGGTCTTTTGTTCACTTTTTAGTTGGGTTTATGTTTTTTATTGCTGTTGAATTAAGTCCTGTGTATATTTTGGATATTAACTCCTTGTCAGATGCACATATTTTCTTTTATTTAATAGGTTGTCTTTTTACTCTGTTAATAGATTTCTATGCTGTCCAGAAGCTTTTAATATTTTACTGATAATAATTTTTCTGTTTTCTGACTTGATACACAGATAAGAGTTTGCCCTCAGCTTCATAGGTTATCTGTCTTCTATCTCACTGATTTTAGGAGTTTTTCTTCTTTTTGATGTCGTGCAGTTTGATCATTATTCTTTTTAAGATTTATTTTATTTACAATTGACATAACAATTATACATATTATGGGGTACAATGAGATGTTTCAATGCATGTTTACACTGTACAATGACTCAATCAGGGTAATTTGCATATGTAACACTATAAACCTGTATTATTTCTTTGTGCTAATAAAATTAAAAATCCTCTCTTCTAGCTGTGTTAGAATAAGCAGTGCAATATATTAGCTATAGTCACCCTATTGTGTAATCAAACACCAGAATTTATTCTCCCTGTTTAACTGTAACACTGTAACTTTGACAAACCTCTCCCCGTTCCTTCGACCCTCCACTCTCCACAGCCTCTGATAATCACCATTCTACTCTCTACTTTTATGGGATCAACTGTTTTAGATTTCACATGAGTCACATCATGTGGTCTTTTACTTTCTGTGACTGACTTATTTCACTTAGCATAATGTCCTCTTGATTCATCAATGTTGACATAAACAGAAGTTCATTCTGTCATATGACTAAACATTCCTGTATGTGTGTGTGTGTGTGTGTGTGCACGTGCGCGCGCGTGCGCGCGCGTGCGTGTGTACATTTTCTTCATTCATCTGTTAATGGGCACTTATACACTGTTGGTGAGAATGTAAATTGGTACAACTAATAGGGAAAACAGCATGGAGGTTTTCCAAGAAATTATAACTAGAACTACCATATATATGACCCAGTAATCTCACCACTGGATATATTTTATTTTCAAAAGAAAATAAAATCAGTATGTCAAAAAGATAATTGCATTTCCATTTTTATTGAAGCAGTATTCACATTAACTGAAACCATTGTTTCTTTTAAGTATTTCCTTAATTTATCTTATTTGACACATTGCACTCTAAATTTTTTATAGGATTCTGCCTTGTTTTCAATTTCTAAAACTTATGTCACCAATTATTTGAATATTGCCTTCTTGTTTATATAGTCTAGTAAAGCAATCAAATGCTTTTTTATTTCTTTTCATCTAATCTTCATTTATATTTGCATTTTGTATTAATTTGCCTTCTAAAAAGTATATGACTACATTAATCGTGCTCAGCATTTCAGTTTACTAGTTCTCATATCAACTCAGTATATTTTAATGTATAATTTGTATGCTGTACATTAAATTACTACATTTTCAACAATTTACTTTCTCTTTACCTCTTTTCCAAATATGGCTTGACAAGCTCATAATTTTATTCCACATTATTGTGTTTTCTTGTTTTTTTTTCATTACATTGGCAAACATTTAAATATAAACCTCATATTTGGGTTTTATGTGCCATATAATTTATCTAATGCTTCATGCCAGTAGCTGATCTTCTTCTGTGCAACATACTTTGTAGTTAAGTTCTCACATATGGGATACATCCCACTCTGGATGCCTCCAGGCAGTTTCTTTTTGTTTATTCCATTTGCCTTGTCAGAAGCTGAATGACCCACATGGATCTGACATCCTCGTGATCAGATGCATGTGAATGGAGCGATGGTCTCCTAGGTTGATATTTCTCTCAATGATTACCTTTATTCACTTCTGTTCCTGAGATGTTTCTATAATTTTCTTTCAACTATATTAGGCATTCTGTGAATTATTGTAGCTTCTTGGTGATTTTAGTTATCTGTATTGAGTTTTTAAAGCGTGTTATTTTCCTGAAAACAGAACTATCAACAGTTGCGTACATGAGTAAAATATTTTACCTAGATTTTCTATGGCACAGATCACCAAAACTGCTGTCTTCAATAGACCGTGTTGCAATAATTTCTGGAATGTGATTACTTTTTTACCATTAGAAAATTAATCCTATATTATGCACAAATTTTTTGAAAT